CGTTGCATTCAGGTGTCTTCTCTGTCCTCCTCCTCCGCGTTGCATTCAGGTGTCTTGTCTGTCCTCCTCCGCGTTGCATTCAGGTGTCTTGACTGTCCTCCTCTGCGTTGCATTCAGGTGTCTTGTCTGTTCCCCTCTGCGTTGCATTCAGGTGCCTGTTTGACAGCCAGCTGACAGGCTCCAGCTCTCAGTTCCTGCCTCGGTCTCAGGACGACAGACTGCAGTTTGAGGTGGAGGCGTTCAGGTTCCAGCAGGACGACAGCGGCATGGTGACTCAAACACATCGCACACTTCCTGCTTATCTCCAAGGAGGTTAAAGAGAAGTCATAACGTCATATCATTGGGGTACAAGACATGCCCAGTGAAATCTGGTCTGTACCTACGGAAGGTCTTAGGCGGCTCACTATCGGAGAACATGGCAGATGATTGATTTGAGCCGTCTACAGTCGGCTTTGAGACCAGTGTTGATTTTGACAGCTATTTTAGATTTAGTCTTAATAGTGAGATGAAAATGTTTTAATCATTTTTATTCTTCATGGTTTTAGTCAACGAAAATTCAAAACACTTTAGTCATTATCTATGTTTTTTATCTTTAAACTGATCTAGTGAGGCTAATTCATGTCTAAGTAATTAGAATCAAGGTGACAGGTTGTATAAAAGTTTCATTTAGACAAATAATTCTGCACACTTCCAAACTGTCATGTCTCCAGCAGTGTGTGACAGGTTTGAGGGCTGATTTACGAGCACACACTTACTGATCATCATCTGAAAAGCTCAACATCTCTCTATTTATGCTCTCAACAAATAACTAATGTGAGCCAACTAGGATTTGTCCCCAGGTTCATTGTAAACTCTGACTTATCCATGTGACTGTTAAGAAGCAGAAACATAACTTGTTTCTTCATGTGCAACATGTTAGTCTGGAGGTTTAAAATGGTGTCCTCTCACAGAGTTGGTGATTCAAACTAAACTTTCATCATCTGAGTTCAGACTGTTTACTTACAGCACAGCTACACTCACAGATAACTGAGCCTCCTACCTGCCTGTCAAACACCATCAACCCACAAACCTTCTCCAGTCCGGACTGAGTGGAGTCCTGCGGGGTGAAGCTGTGAAGTCTGAGAGTGGAGCTAGCTGCTAACAGCCACCGCTGCAACTAACAAACTCCACAAATCCATTCAGCAGCTCCACCATCCACAGTCAGACACACACGGCTGATTATTTACTGCTGAATTACAGCTCACAACTCGCACCAATGGAAACATCCTGGTGCAGACTATTTACCGGAGTTTAACAGCCTGTTGCTCATGTGGCATGTGAAGATAATTACAAGCACGGCCGTTCTCGACTTTCAATGTCTGATTGTCCACCACTGATATTTTTGTCACATCTCATCAACGAAAATGAAACACATATTTTGTCTTATCAAGATCTAGTTTTAGCTTGTCATCGTCTCATTTTCCTCATGGGGGGAAAAAAGGTTGTTGGTTATGTCAACAAAATTATCACTGTTTGAGACGGCATTTGTTGTACAAAAAATTAAGAGATGGTTGAAAATTCCAATTTTAGGTTAGATTACTTTATCAAATACCCGCAGGTAGATTTGTTTTGCAGTTTTTGGAGAGCAGGCATCCAACTTAACTAATTAAATGCAGATACTCAGGACAGGACAAGACAAAGGAGTTAAAAAAAACTCTTGCGATTATTGGAAAAAGTTCACATACTTTCTATATGCAGACATTCTTTTGTTTATCGGCTGCCATCCATTTGAGCGTACCCAAAAAGTTCTGTCAGGCCGAGTGCACCTAAATGGCACCTGAGCCAACACATTCCCTTTCTTTCTAGTGCCATCTGCTACAACCCTCCAACATTGCAGCTCCAGCCACACTGCACATGTGTCAAACCTCAGAGCTCCCATGGGGTCAAAGAGCTGTCCCAGCCTTTATTGAAAAGCCTTGTCTCCTGCTTGACAACTGAACTGGAATTTTGTAACTGGTTTCCTTTCTTGCAGATAGTTGTTGGTGTCTATGTTGACAAACCTGAATGAACATCTTCTCACTCAGTACATTTACACACACACAGTTAAGTGGAGCTACAGTTACAGCACGACTGGGCCATTTAACTGGCCTACTGTCCTTGTCCCAGTATACAAGCATGGGAGGGGAATCCATTTATTGAGCCAAGTATGTACGACTCCTCTACGATAGGTGGAGATATGCCCCCTTTCAGCTTGTTAGTATTGGACATTTTTCCTGTTGACCTATTACGTCACAGACCAAACAATAGACAAACAAGTTAGCTACGGTTAGCTAGCAGCTAACTGATACCATGGTGGACAACTTTACAGCTCTGTACATTTGGTCCATCCAAAAAGTCACAGCTCTGGATGTAGATTTCTCCATGTTGTTACCGGCTTCTTCTTCCCTTCCCTTGGATTTCCGGGTCAAAGCCCGGGACGGAAACCGGCCAGTTTTCTGTCTGAGTGTATGCATGCAGGAGTCACATTATCTGGGTGTGTTAGTCCGACTTTGAGAAATTAGATTTAGTACAATTTCAGTCGGACTAACTTGTTTACTTGAATTTTTTAAAAGTCCGGTTTTAGTCGGACTGACACAAGAAATTGATTTCCTCTGTCATGTAAATGTACTGAGTGTCTCTTTAGATCTACATCACCTGCAGTGTGAGAGCCACAGCAGCTGCTGCAGCTGTTGATGCCACCAACAAGGCCTGTTCATTCTCCAACGGGTGAGACCAACACTACAACTCCCATCATCCTTTCTGCTGCAAACACTACAAATACTTATCAGTCTCAGTGGGTTTAAATTACTCAGTTGTGACGATGTGTTTTGATGCTGAAATATTAGAAATCAAGACAAAGTACACATTTATAAAAGTTAACTTCTTTCAAAATTTAGTTTGTTTGGTGAAAGCAAACGTTATTACTTGCATTTAGATTTTTCTTAAAGAGATTTTATGAACAATGATTTCATATTCTACTCAGTTCATTTTAGTTAATACATGGTGGATGGAGAAAACATATCAATCTGAAATAATTGTAGTCTTAGAAATCAGAAATGATGTGAGAATAATGTTTTTTTTTTAAGTTAAATCAAAGTGCACTACAAGGAACATGAAACACTGACACGTGATGGATAAAAACCTTGTGTTGTGAAGAGATGAAAGTTCTCAAACTTTTAAATGCACTATAAGATGCAGAGCTTTTGATTGACAGGTGGAGGGAGGCCAGTGGCAGCCATCAGGTGTGTGCCTGCTGTGATACAGACTGTGGGACAGGAAGCCAGAGTCACCTGACAGGAACAGGTGAGTTAAGCCTTGGTCAGACTGCAGCCCACATCTTGTTGTTGTTGTTGTTGTTGTTGTTGTTGTTGTTATAATTATTTATTTATTTTTTTTTTTTTTTGCAACTTACTGACTGACCGTTGGCATTACATATTGCAAGTGATGAGATCCGATCTGCATGTGTCCATACTGACGAAGTCTTATCCACATAGATTTCCATGGTAACAGGCTATGCCCAGGAAAAACAAACAATGGCAACAGTAAACTGTGCGTGTTTCTGTCCCAAATGGTTATGTGGATCCGCAGCGCGACTTTTTGTCCTAAATGCAAGGAAGCGACAGAAACGGAGGAGACTGCTAAGTTGTGCCGCCTCGGAATGGTAGTGGAGAGATTAGTGGAGTCATCAATGAGTGAAATCAAAACTCCAGTCCAGCTCTCTTTTCCCATCATGGTTTTATAGGCCTACATCATGACAGAAATTCTGTTGGGTTTTTACTTTTACTACTCAACACTGTGTTTGTTTTTGTTTGTTTTTTTTAAAAATCTGTTAAGAAATCTTCCTCACCGTTGCTGTCTTGAATGCTGCAGTCTTCCTCTGCTGTGCTGTCCAGAACAAATTTAGGATCCACACTGGGCTTGTCACAAAGATACTTGTGTCCTGATATATGGCTTTATTTCTTTATGTACCTTCTAATTTTTTTCTGAACTGACGAATCCCCCCAGATAGCTATCAGGCACTTTATCTCCTCGTCCGTCCACGGTTTGTTGTTTTCCTCCATGCTTTAAAACCTGTGGGTTGACTATTTCTTACCCACTTGTAACTCCACAGGCGTTGCTAGGCAACGAGCATCTCCCCAGCTCTACGTTGTTGTTGTTGTTGTTGTTGTTGTTGTTGTTGTTGTTGTTGTTGTTGACGCGGAAGACACTTGGAAATCCTATTTGAGCCACCGAGACGTTCAGATTGAAACGGATCTGTAAAAATCCGATTGGAATAGCATTTGAAACCACCTCTGTATGTGGTTTGAATCAGACTTGGATAAATCAGATCTTGTGTTTTTTCGTTGTCCAGACTGTCAGAAAATGAAGCTAGACACAATCTGGATATGCTAAAAATCCGATTTGGAGTGGTAATCTGAACAAGGCCTTAGTGGACTCCAAAAACCACTTTGACGAGTTTTCTAGTTCTGTTTGAAGTTCTTTAATTCCATTTATTCTTAATGTAATCAAAGTACTGTCATAATGGGATTTTGAGTGGATACTGTTCACTAATTGATCTGTTTAAATGTTCCTGATGGAATCTCTGTTAAGTTTAAGCGTATTTTCAGAAGGTAAAACTTCCCTTAAACTTGACCAAATTGAATTATGATGCAGTCTGGCACATGCTACTCTGTGCTCAGACTTTTACCCTGATAACAAATGATCCAGATGCTCAGGAGGTTTTACTGAAAGTTGAATTATCCACAGAGGTCTCTTCCTCTCCAAATAAAACAGACCAGGTGATTCAAACTTCAAGAAAATAAATAAAAGGGAAAAAGAGAACACTGAATCAAGTAGTGTCACGTTACAAATCAGTGTAACACCTTACAACAATGGCCGACGTAAAAATAATAATGTCCCTGTCTAGAGCCAGTGTTTGGTTTGTCCATTCTGGGCTACTGTAGAAACATGGCAGAGCACCATGGCGATCTCCATAAACTGACCCCAGCTCCCCATGTGCAAATTTGCAAATCCTAGGATGGTGAAGGAATGACCAGCCTTACTGTGCCTCTGATTGGCTTACCCTGATATTCTTACCCTAAAGCCCAGTTCAGACCACAGACTCGTGACGAGATGAGTTGAAAAAGGCAGCTACTGTTATCACGCCATTCTGTAACGTTCTAAAACGGTTTCATCTCGTTGCAAGTTTTTGGTCCGAACTACCAGTCCCACTCATCTTGCCTAAACCTATCCAGTCCAACCAACAAAGGCAATAAGTAGCAGTCAATCATGAGGAGAGTAGGGCAGGTCATTCCCTCGCAAACTTGCTCCCTATGTAGTTATAAATGGTTCATTCAGAGGTAACGAAACACACCAATTCTTACTTTCAGGTGATTTTCCACTAAAGAATACATACTTATACTATTCCATTTCTGCTTGTTTATTTATATAGGTATATAGATATAAATATAGAGATGTATAGAGATATATAGAGATATAGATATGTCTCTATCTCTGTCTATCTCTATCTCTTACATATGTGCTATTTTTAAATATGCAAATGCATCATCAGAATCCCTTAAGTGCTATAATCCATCAGTTAACTTCAAATGTGAGATGAACCTTTTTAAACTGACCTTTTTAAACAGACACAAATCCAGCTGTACCTGTCATGTTGTCTTATAAACCTTAGTTTGGTTGTGTGTTGCAGGTGCTCAGTGGGAACAGGAAACAGCTGTTGGACCAATCACAGTGAAGGAGAGACCTCTATAGTGAAAAAACAAAACCAAAAGAACTTTAATATGAATGGAATAAGATTAAAGCTCTTAATACTCGAATGACTGTGTGGTTTGTTATCGTGGTAAAATAGGATCCTACAAGGCAACTGGACTTGAGTTTCTTGAAGATGTTTCCCTTCTCGTTCAAGAGACTTCTGCAGTTCTGAATGACTACAAGAAGCTCTAAAAACAAGTTCATTGAAGGTACAACAGTTTCCAAATTGCTAATGATGGGTTTTAGGGATTTTTCTGGAAGCTCTGATGCATCTGGTTTTGACAAATTCCCTAAAACTCAAATGCGGACACCTCACGCCAGCCAAAGTGTGGTTTTGTTGACACACACCCAACTGTGCCGTCATGCAACTGTCTTATGGCCTGAAAGTGATATTAGCATAGACTGTAAATGTAATGGACATAGCTACCCTGACATCACCCACTGGTGTGTGGGCTCCAGTTTTAAAGCCATGAGTTTGCCTTTTCAGCTGTCTGTTTTTTTTGTTTTTTTTTTAAGTCAGAAGTGACCATATTCGGGCGAGAGGGTGGATCTGACTGAGAAGCAGAGGACACTATCAGCAGGTAGCCTGCAGTCAAAGCGGCCCACCCTTAATTATGTGGAACTTTAGGCCTTAGTAAAATGTTAACAAATGAGTTACATAAAAATTTGCCCTGTTGTCATAAGTGATAAAATTGGCTATACATTCTTAAACTGTTTTTTGTACCAGGCTGTAAACATGTTCATTTCTGCTGTAAATTTGGGCATTTAACATGACAACATTGACTTCCAGCGTCGGAGACGAAAAAGCTGTAATTTCACGTTGCCATTATTGTGTAACAGCACCCGGCTGCGTCAGGGGGGGAAACACAGTGGGACGATCATGTAAGTTAAGGGGGCAAAGGTCCGAATATGGTGGATGGGTCCAAGTAACACAGACTTTGCCCCGGAGGGCCGGTTTTGGAAGTGACTTTATGAAAACAGTAAATTTCCTATGAAAACAAGTGTACTTTGAAAGAAGACAAACCATGTAACAGGCTGACGTTGAGATGGAACATCAACAACCACCACACCCAGAGTACCTTGCATATCGTATCCAGTGGTCGAAGTGTTAATTTTTAACAAGGGGGATGCAATGTAGCTGCTTTTTTTTTTTTTTTTTTTTTTTGCATGCACACATCATCAAATATGACAGCACAGATGTACAAAATTAATCAAGATAAAGAAAAATGGCTTGACCTATACCTGCTGCCTTTAAAACACAAATAATGCAGTGGTATTGCAATACAGACAAAAAACATTTTAGAGTACAAATAAGAGTAGTTCTGAAATAGCTGTGAAAATTAATCTTAGAGTCATGTCCTATAGACATTTCCTAAGCCAGTTATAATTTCTCCTTACCTGTGAAGCCTTGGGCTGATAATTGGTGCTGCTGTCAGGTCCCTGTCCTGATACCTGCCTGGTTTCTCCCTGTCCCTCTTCTATCTATTGCAATAATATAGATAAAAAATGTGCAAAGCAAAGTTTAGAAATAGAATTAAGAATGACATAGCTGTAGAAATTAATCCCACAGTCACTTTTATGCTATAGATATTTTCTCTCAGCCAGTTATAATCTCTCCTCACCTGTGAAGACCCTGCATGATCATCCTCGCTGGCCTCTGGTCCACTGTCTCCTCCCTGACCCTGCTCTTTCTATTGTGGCAATAAAGATCAAAAAAATATGTGCAAAGCAATAGTGAGCACAAGTTCTTATTTAAGAGTAGTGGGTTTATTCCTAGCATGAAACTAGCTAGCAAGTGATTTAACATAGGTAACAATAACATTAGTGTTCTTATTAACTAGTTTAACTTGATATACAGTACAGGCCAAAAGTTTGGACACACCTTCTCATTCAATGCGTTTTCTTTATTTTCATGACTATTTACATTGTAGATTCTCACTGAAGGCATCAAAACTATGAATGAACACATGTGGAGTTATGTACTTAACAAAAAAAGGTGAAATAACTGAAAACATGTTTTATATTCTAGTTTCTTCAAAATAGCCACCCTTTGCTCTGATTACTGCTTTGCACACTCTTGGCATTCTCTCCATGAGCTTCAAGAGGTAGTCACCTGAAATGGTTTCCACTTCACAGGTGTGCCTTATCAGGGTTAATTAGTGGAATTTCTTGCTTTATCAATGGGGTTGGGACCATCAGTTGTGTTGTGCAGAAGTCAGGTTAATACACAGCCGACAGCCCTATTGGACAACTGTTAAAATTCATATTATGGCAAGAACCAATCAGCTAACTAAAGAAAAACGAGTGGCCATCATTACTTTAAGAAATGAAGGTCAGTCAGTCCGGAAAATTGCAAAAACTTTAAATGTGTCCCCAAGTGGAGTCGCAAAAACCATCAAGCGCTACAACCAAACTGGCACACATGAGGACCGACCCAGGAAAGGAAGACCAAGAGTCACCTCTGCTTCTGAGGATAAGTTCATCTGAGTCACCAGCCTCAGAAATCGCAAGTTAACAGCAGCTCAGATCAGAGACCAGATGAATGCCACACAGAGTTCTAGCAGCAGACCCATCTCTAGAACAACTGTTAAGAGGAGACTGCGCCAATCAGGCCTTCATGGTCAAATAGCTGCTAGGAAACCACTGCTAAGGAGAGGCAACAAGCAGAAGAGATTTGTTTGGGCCAAGAAACACAAGGAATGGACATTAGACCAGTGGAAATCTGTGCTTTGGTCTGATGAGTCCAAATTTGAGATCTTTGGTTCCAACCGCCGTGTCTTTGTGAGACGCAGAAAAGGTGAACGGATGGATTCCACATACCTGGTTCCCACTGTGAAGCATGGAGGAGGAGGTGTGATGGTGTGGGGGTGTTTTGCTGGTGACACTGTTGGGGATTTATTCAAAAATTGAGGGCACACTGAACCAGCATGGCTACCACAGCATCCTGCAGCGACATGCCATCCCATCCGGTTTGCGTTTAGTTGGACAATCATTTATTTTTCAACAGGACAATGACCCCAAACACACCTCCAGGCTGTGTAAGGGCTATTTGACCAAGAAGGAGAGTGATGGAGTGCTGCGGCAGATGACCTGGCCTCCACAGTCACCGGACCTGAACCCAATCCAGATGGTTTGGGGTGAGCTGGACCGCAGAGTGAAGGCAAAGGGGCCAACAAGTGCTAAACACCTCTGGGAACTCCTTCAAGACTGTTGGAAAACCATTTCAGGTGACTACCTCTTGAAGCTCATCGAGAGAATACCAAGAGTGTGCAAAGCAGTAATCAGAGCAAAGGGTGGCTATTTTGAAGAAACTAGAATATAAAACATGTTTTCAGTTATTTCACCTTTTTTGTTAAGTACATAACTTCACATGTGTTCATTCATAGTTTTGATGCCTTCAGTGAGAATCTACAATGTAAATAGTCATGAAAATAAAGAAAACGCATTGAATGAGAAGGTGTGTCCAAACTTTTGGCCTGTACTGTAGGTCTCTATTAATTAGTTATCATTATCTACATGCAACTGCATTACTCAACTTACACAACTTGTTTGGAAGAAACTGCAAGTTTTTTTTGCTTCTTGCTGGCTGGTTTGCTGAACATACAGCAGCACCGGTCAGCAGCACACCTCTCATCTGTGTGCTATTGATTCTGATCACAACATGACAGCATGTGTATGCGCCTGGCGCCATCTACTCATGGTGCGTTTAAAGACAGCTCGGAAAAACACGTTACCACATGTTAAAAACGAATTGAACGGTCTGTAAAAAGTGCGGGTGATAGAGGACACAGATACGGGAAGTGCGGGGGACGTGTCCCCTGTGTCCCACCCTCAAATTATGTCAGTGCCTGCACACACAGATTCTAGATTAACAAGGGGGATGCTTTTTGGTCAATTTTCTAACAAAGGGGATGGCATCCCCCCCTCATCCCCCCTCAATTCGACCACTGATCGTATCTATACATGGAAAGTCCATGACCAAACATCTGTGTGACGAGGTTGAAGTGAGAATGTGTTGCTTTCACCGTAGTATATTACACTGTAAGGCAGCATCAATTAGATCGCCATGGCGTCAGTTTGAAATGCCACCTGACAACAATGTAATGCCAAAACGCACGCTAAAGTGCCCTCCTGGGAGCCAAAACGTGCGCTAAAGTGCCCTCTTTGGAGCCAAAATGTGTGCTAAAGTGCCCTCTTGGGAGCCAAAACGCACGCTAAAGTGCCCTCTTGGGAGCCAAAATGTCCTCCTGGGAGCCAAAACACATGCTAAAGTTCCCGTGTCCGTGCTAATGACTTTTATGTTGGACCCTTTTTTGATCTATATTGAGCCAGAACTATATCTCACAGAACCAGTTTGGATTATCTGGTGCTAATATGGTGTTAAAATGCACTAGAATACAGGAAATGGCATCTACTTAATTGAAAATTTTCTGGGGGAGGACCCAGGGATTTATTTCCTTCATACATCCATGTCTCTGTGTTCTTCACAGTCCAACGTTGAATCTACACAGTTCTCGTGGATGCTGATCCTAACTACAAACTAACTTGAGTAGTCTGTCTAATTAGACTGTTTGAAGGCTATATAATGTGCCATTTGTATAACATATAAACATGTCTAAAGTGCCCTCGAAAACATGCGGAACTTAGTGCCCTCTTCAGTGGCGAGAACGTGCTGTATGTGCCCTTTTTTTTCTTTTCCCCCCTGCACTTCAAAAAGTCTGTGCACGCCACTGCCAATGCTAATAGGGATTAACTGGCACGCACCTTCAACTTATGAGGACATTCGGATTCATCACCCAGTACATCAACATAACATTAGAAAAAATCCATATGTTGTGTCAGTAGGACTAAACCTGAACTGTTAAAATCCATGTTAACATGTTAGTAAGATGTAGTTAATTTGAAATCTTACAACCTAAAGTCTTTAAAAACATATTTTGAAAAGCTCTTAACAAATAAAGTGTGCATGACAACACTTCTTATCTATATACAATTATCAGACAATATAAAGTTTTGAATTTGGCACAGAGACGTTTAAGAAACGTGCAAATGCTTCTTATTTCTG